TAAGGTTAGTACTTTACTTTGTGTTGTGTTGCTCCTCCTGCATCTGTAGCAGAAACTAAAGAGACAAGGGCATTGCAGCCACTGCTACACGCTAAGGCGGTACTCCCTTCCCCCCCGAAACCCGCTTTCTGGGTCTGAGGTGCATTCTGCAACTACAACTCTTCCGTCATTTCCCCCGGTTTAGGCTTTGATTTGCTTTGCCCTGTTCTGTTTTGCCTCCTTCAACTCGAACCTAAGTACTCAAATCACACTCAGCATTGAACATTTTCTCTCGCTTTTGCTCTTTCCCTGGTTCACTTGTGTTTTCCTACCCAGACCAGGACCAGCTACGGTTCTTTTCTTAATCAAAAACCGAGCATCGACTGCTTCCATCGGACTTAGATCTGCACCTTCTCTGCGCTTTTCATCCCGACTCGACTGCCCGCTGCGGGCAAAGACAAGCAACCGGCTACTTCTCCTTCTATCTTTTGCGCAATGAGGTAGAATTGGAGCAAACACACGCCTTTCCCACCCTTCCTCCCGGAAAACTTCACCCTTCGTTTGGAGGTGCTCGACTCTTACCGCACAATAGATACCTAGCTTAAGGTGCCTAACAAGAGGAGCAAAATGAGTCCCTCGAGCCCTCTATCTTTCGTCCCTGACGGAGAAAACTCAACACTCTCGTCGCCACTCTCCAACCTCTCCAGAACACCATCATTACCTTCGTCACCTGACATGCCCGATCCCACGAAGCGCTATCCATCTCCATCAACGACTGCATCGGGCCCGCACTCTCCAGACAAGACGTGTGACCTTCCATCTGAAGATGAAATTATCGCCAAACCACTCGATGATTCCACCTCAGGTCCACCGCCAGCCAAAAAGCGTCGTATATCTCCCCCGAAAGAACGTACTACCGAGTACCTAGATTTGATGAAACCCGAAGATGAACTCACTGCCGAGGACCGTGGCCAGTTGAAAAGGCTCATTGACACATTGCGCAAGAAAAAGAAGATCGTTGTCGTTGCTGGGGCTGGAATTTCAGTTTCAGCAGGAATCCCCGACTTCCGCTCATCCACTGGCTTATTTGCGACCGTCAAAACTCAGCATAACCTCAAGGGCTCTGGTAAACATCTGTTCGATGCTTCAGTTTACAAACACGATTCCACAACTCAGTCTTTCCATGCAATGGTTAGAGAAATGGCCACAATGACGAAAGCCGCAAAACCTACACCTTTTCATGAACTATTAGCATCACTGGCTCAAGAAGGCCGCTTATTACGCCTCTATTCACAAAACATCGACTGCCTTGACACCCAACTAGAGCCTCTGGCCACCGAGGTTCCTCTTAATCCCAAAGGCCCCTGGCCTGTTACAATCCAGTTGCACGGTGGTCTCCAGAAAATGGTCTGCACCAAATGCAATAATATCCGGGAATTCAACGGCGAGGTTTTTGACGGCCCAGAGGCTCCACTTTGTCCAACATGTAAAGATCTTGACGAAGTTCGGACCGCACATGCTGGGAAGCGAAGCCATGGCATCGGCAGACTACGACCACGATTTGTGCTCTACAATGAGTACAACCCAGACGAGGATGCCATCGGGAATGTTTCAAGCGCTGATCTTAAGGCCCGCCCTGATGCTGTATTGGTGGTTGGAACGACACTCAAGGTTCCTGGAACTCGCAGACTAGTGAGGGAGATGTGCCAAGTCACACGAGGACGAAAGAACGGTACTGCTATTTGGATTAATGTGGACGATGAACCCAAAGGCGTCGATCTGAAAAATTGCTGGGACATCGTAGTACGATCAAAGTGCGATGACGTGGCTCGATCTGCAGCGCTTCCTCCCTGGAATATCACCCTTGGGCAGGATTATGAGGTGTCTGAGGAAGACTTCTCCAAGAGCCAAGAGGATCGCAAACGCCTTAACTTCTTTGTTGAAATTCCGGTCAACTCTGTCTCACCTCATTCTGAAGAGCAAGGCACAGCGAAATCGAAGCAGGTCAAGCAGGTGCAAGGCATACCAACGCCCCATGCAAGCCCCAAGATATCAGCGATCAAAACCTCGGCGAAGACGATGCAGACCACGATATCTTTCGAGGGCAAGGTTACCACAGACCAGCCTGCACAACTCTCGAAACAACGCGGGTCCTCTAAACAAAACGGGCGCAAGAGAAAGGCCCCAGGTGGACACAAGGAGGCGCAACTTAAAAGTTTCAAGGCAACTAAAAATATCATCAGCCAAGAGAAGGCCGACGGATCTGCGCCAATCCCTCAGACGAAGCGGACTGTAACTGGCAGAGGGAAAAATCGCCATCCTTTGCCCTCTCAACGTCCCACGACTACGCCCCATAAAGAGATGTTGACTGACACCAAGGATCTGGATGAGAAGGTCCGTCAACGGGGAACTAGTTATCCTTCAACTCCGACCACAAAAATGAAGGGTACCATTTCTCCACGATCGTACCCTAACAACACGCGACATCTGATCGATTAAGACCAGAATCAGCACGACAGTATTTAGAGGGAACAGCAATGTGCAGATAGCCGATGTTATTATCTGTATTCTTTAGCATTCATGGAGTATGGGGTTGGCTGATACCAGATACCAGATATCAAGCTGCGGTCTCTGGGACCAACAACACAGGCAGCGAATGACTTATACTACTATCCAAGGACAGACTTGCATTATTTGGGACCAAGGTTTTGTCAACACCGAGGCAGCGGGTGCCCGGTTCGGCTTGGTTGAATAGAGGCGTTATATGGAAGAAGAGCCTTGCAGCTGGACAGCCAAGGTCAATTACATAGAGGCGGCAAGAGATGCGCCAGATTCGAATATTAATCTGATTATCGAAGCGTAACGAATGAGTAATGAAAGAGCAACGTCAATTGCGTGCTGAAATTATTATAGCTAATTCTCAAGAGGGGTTTCCCTGGGTATCATGTCATATCCTTCAGCGCCGTCATCCGCTTCCACCTGTAATAATCTACCATGCCAAAAGTCATGCTACGACTGAGCTCGCTTCAATCAATATGCACTTCGATTGTGTCTTGGGCCTCGATCTCGGCATCCTGCATCTCCACGTGCTCTTCAAGCCGCTCACCGTCCCACCAAAGAGATACCTGCTTATCTGAACCCACACTGCGCTGTTGACGGAAGTAGGAGATGAGCGTTTCCACAGTTGTCTCTGGGAGAATTTTGCAAGCCAGCGGTTCAACATCCCGTCCTTTGAGCATGATCACGAATCTGATTCTTTCGGCCGGCTTCTCCTCTTCCTCGCCAGAAAGTTCACCAGCGTCACGCTTCCGCTGGAGTTCCTGCTCCTGCTCCATCTTCTGGAAGAGTTCCGGAGTCCAGGCTTGCACGTTTATCGAAGACATGTTCTCTCTGAAGCCTGCGGACCCTTGACCGTCGCTCACAGCACGTCCATTGCCAATCGGGCGAATGCCCAGGCCAATCAGGGTGGAAGTGTTGTATACTTTCTTGTTGTTCCAGGTGAGAGTCACATCGTCCGCTTGTATGGAAACACCTTTACTCATTTGGTGTTTAACCCACGCATCTCGAGCTATGCGAAGAGGTTTGTTAAATAAAAACCTCACTTGCAGGGGTACAGTATGAGGAATCGTGCTGGTAATGAAAATGTTGAAGGCCTCTTTGGACTGCTCCTCAGACTTGTTAGCCTGAAGGGCCTGTTGGCGGGCGCGTTTCTCTTCGGCTTTTCGAATGTACTCTGCGAACTCATCCTCCTCCACTGCTGGTGGGCTTGGCTCCTTAGAAGGCTTAGAGGTCCGCTCCGCAAGTTCGATACTGCTACTTCCCGGCTTCGATGATAGGTCGCTCATGGGCTTAGGAGGTTCTGAGTCGGATTCCGAATCCGAGACAATCGTTATGGGATCCGTGGTTGGTTTGGTCTGTGGTTTGGGATCTTCTGTCTTCAGGTTTCGACTTGGAGTAGGGCGGTTACGAGTTGGCCCCAATCTTCGAGTTGGCGATGCATCTGGGAAAGGGTCTTCGTCTATGTCGAGTTGTGAACTAAGTATAGGCTTCTGGGCCGAGCTTGAGTCAAGCCTTGATCGTTTTGACGGAGGAGGAGTGACAAGTTCACTAAAAGAATCAGAACACGATGTTTGGCGATCTAGTTAGCAAGCATACCTGGTGCGATCCGCTCCATCGTGTGTCATCTGCTGATCGGTAACAGGAGTCCCCTCTATCCGTGCAGGCAAGGAGGGTAGACCATCGCTGACCTCAGGGCCAGGGTCCTTTTTGGTGAGCCCATCGCTATCCGAGGAGTCTTCTCGCGGTCGCTTCTCCCCAATGGCCTCAAGTCGTTTGCGCTCAGCTTCCTGCTCAGCTTCTCTATGTCTCCTCCAACGCCTTTGCTGATCAGCTGCCATGATAGGCGCCATCTCCTTTGAGCGGCGAAACAGAGAGAGGCCATCGTCGTCACTGTCCTTGGAATCCTCGGGTTGTGTTGGTTTTGGCGCTGCCCTGCGCAGCGCGGTGGGCTTAAAGGGGAGTTTCTTCATATTGGTCAAGAGCCTCTGATTAGCTTGCACGGAGTTTTGATGATAGCAAAGCGTCAGTTGTTCGCTCAGTTTTGTAGAGTAACAAAGCGACAGGGGCGCAAAAGGCGACACAGGACAGTCGGTTGCGTCTAAAGTAATCAAAAATCAATGAAGCTAGAGGTTGATGGGTCTTTCGTTGAAAGGCTTGAATTGCACTTTACACTTTACACGCCTGGAGCTGGTGGGATGAATGGAGGTTGCCTTGGCAAGAAATAGAGACCTGGCCCGCTAAAAATACCCTCGCTACGTGCCGCTGTAACGGGACGTTAGGCGGCTTCACAGCAGGCGTGATGCCCCACAGTGCGAAAAGACTCCGGCCTTAACAGCCACGACAAGGCATCAATCTTTCAGGCTAGACCCAGACAACTCCACAAGCTCTATTATCATAAACCATCAACGACACCCTGAACCTCTCAAACCGCCATCCTCCAAACGCCCCCCCAAGTCTTCACAATGGAGAACGGCGCTATCTCCCAGGGTGAGGGAAAAGACCCTTCAAGCTTCCTCAGTGACATCATCGGCAATCCTGTTACTGTCAAGCTCAACTCTGGCGTTGTTTACAAGGGTGAGTCTTCACCTCTTCACTCATCGATTTGACGATGCAGCTGAGCGCCTCACATGCGACGATACAGCGAATAGGATGGAGCTAACACTTGCAGGCGAACTTCAATCTGTGGATGGCTACATGAACATTGCCCTGGAAAAGACAGCCGAGTATGTCAATGGTCAGAAGCGTAGGGAATACGGTGATGCCTTTGTGAGAGGAAACAATGGTGAGTGCCGCTCTGTTATGGGCATAAATCTTGCTAATCGGCGCTGAAAGTCATGTATATTTCGGCAGACTCATGATTGGTCTTGAACAATGAATGACGGCTCGGTCTCTACATGTAGATTTATGATGAAACTTGTATCTACATCCTCTTCACTCTGGACCATCCAAACGTGACGTCCAGGCAAAGAAAGTGCACCCATGGAGCTCAACCTCACCGTTCTCGTTGAACGTGGCATCGCCCTCCTTGATGATCTTGTCGAACTTCTCTCTGAACAGTCGACGCTCCTCCCCTTGCCGAAGTTTGTTCCAGCTAAGTGTGTCGAATCTGTCCCACAAAGCATCAGGGGTCAACCAAATCGACCATGTGATTTTTTCGGTCTCGATGGGCGTGGAAAAGAATGGCTTCTCAGCTTCGGCTTGACGTTCGAAGACTTTCTTCCATAGCAAGTGTCGGAACCGAGGCTCGTTGTCCGCCTTTTCGTTGAAGTTGAGCTCGCTGAGCTCCTGCTCCCACTTTGTAGAGGCTGGCCAGCTTTCGGGGCGATTATCTGGGGTCTGTCATCAGTCACTCCGGAAGCGGCAAAAGGCCTGGGACATAATTACATTCTTCAGCATTCCAGATCAACCCCAGTTTGGCCCCAGGCTTGAGTACCCGATGTATCTCCTTGAGGGACTCCTCTCTGGCGAACCTTTGACTTGATTAGGGCTTATTGTTAGTCCTTTGAGGAACGACTTACCAGTGAAAGGCCTTCAAAACGTCAGTCTGATTTCTAGCTAAGTAGTGCTCTCTTTATACAAGGCATCTAGCTTACCTGAGCCACAATGCAGCCGTCAGCCCATCCATCTTCCACGTCCTTCATTTCAGCTGCCGTACCTGGCCGCACGTCTACTTTGGAGAGTTTCTTGGCAACAAGGGTGTTTCTCATCGAGTTCAACGGCTCTACGGCAATAATTTTGTATCCTTCCGGCCTGGCAGATAGAAGCTCAGTGAATTTGCCAGTGCCAGCTGCCAGGTCTAGGATATGGCGTCCAGATTGACCCTCGAGACCGAGATGTCCCAGAAGACTGGCGACAGCAGCAGGAGGGTAGGAGGGCCGGTGTGCGTCATAAGACTGGGCGTCATCAAAGCCTTTCGTCGCAATATCATGAATAGTCTGAGATGCCATTTTTGGTGTTGCTCTTGAACAGCTCGAAGTGGCTGGACAATCTGTCGTTGGTATTCAAGTATCTTCAATGAGACAAGCAGCTAATTCTGAGGGACTAAAGGGATGGATAGGTGTCGGAGATATCTTGGAGGCCTTTTATACAAACACCCAATGATCTTCCCCGCGCTTCTAGATCCTTGGGTACTGGTTCTCCAGAGTTCAATGATGTGATGGCACTAGATCTGATTCCCGATGTCGTTCCAGGACCCTAGATCCCGCGGGAACGAGCCGACGGATTTACGGCGGAGCCCCGACAGATTCAAAGCAACTGGAAAGCACCTCAATGACAATCAGAGAAATTGGACACTTGCAAGAATTCGTGATGATTTGCTAACTGCTCGACGATTCCGATATTAATCGCCTTTTCTCTGATCTGAGGACTCTGGGGTGCCCGCTTGGCATTGCCACGCTTCCCGTCGACGGCTTTCTCACGTGTGGCAAGGCATTTAGCTGCTCTATACTGAAGATGGTGTCTGATACCGAGTGTCCTTTCCCCTTCTCGAAAGCTTCTGTCTGGCTTACGGTAGATCCCGGCGGTGTTTGTTCTGGCGTGATGAAGTCATCGTTGCAACTGCTAGATGATCTAGAATCCGTATGGTTGCAGTTTATCTGTGAATTTGGTCGGACAATTGAGTCAGCTTGAGTCTTTGTCACTGAACTAGCTGAGTCGGAATGTTCTTGCTGGCTCTGGATGCCCTCTGTTGAGACAATGCCATCCTGCTGAGATGTCCTTGTAGATGTCGGGTAGCTTGGCGTCGTTTCGGAGTTGAGTGCGTCTGATAGACATTCAGATGACCCTATGTCTATCATTTTCCCCTTTCCTTTGGATATTCTGATGCGCCGACCAACTTGAGTTGTTACTGGTGTGAGTTGGCATGGCCCAGGCGAATTTGGCCTTGAGATCCAGATGCCCTCCACCTCGACGCCGCTCAGAATAGCACGAACACCAAAAGGGATCTCGGGAGCTCGCATGTTTTCGATACCGCAACGTGACATGAGGGACATTCGTGCGCGCTTCTCCTCGTCAATAATCTCAAGACGGCGTATGGCTCGGTTAGACCACCATAGTTTCACAAGTCCCATGGCGAAAACAAGAACAATGCAGCACCCAAGAACCTACGACTTGCAGTTAGTCTTTGGAACGATACTTTTCAGGTGTCCCTGGAGAATACTAGAAGTCAAATATCCATGGTTAGTTGGATATACGTACGAAAGTCATCTCTTGCCAAAGCTCCCAGTCCACAAAGAAGGCAGTCATGATGAGGCTTGATACTATGAAGACTAACAGGGCTCCAAAGGAAACAGAGTACAGGATATGCTTCAACTTTTCAAAAACATTCAGACGATTCGGATGTTTGAAAGGCTCCAAAATTGTAACATGACAATCCAAGTTCCAAAAATGAGAGTGAATGGGTGATGCGTGGTAACGGCTTCGGGTGAGGAAGCAACAAGAAAGCCAAGCTCTAAACGAGCCTCGTGAGTGCCATAGCCAGATTAGCACGTGTCATTGTTGGTCGAAACTGTTGGGGAGTGCAAGTGCGATGAATCGTTTGGAAGTCACCAATATTCACTGACATCCATAGGCAGGTGCGGATAGGTAGTGGCCAGTGCCACTCGGAGAATGAACCAGCAGCTCTGCGCCGTTTCGGTAAACACCTTGGCTGGTACTATCTAAATGAAATGGAGCAGGGTATGCATGTTAATAAGACTTTTACTAGAGTTCAGAGAACATATCCTACTCAAGGAAGATGCCAGTCAATACCAGTTGGGCGAGCGAGCCTGCATGAGGCGTCAAGGCTCTTCTCGAATACACATGGTCAGTCTGAGCTAGACAGATTACCTACGAGACAGGAGAGAATGAAAGTAAACGATTGTAAGTTACGAAGGCTGTTTGCCCAGGTTGTTTGGTATAGATACCTAGGATTGAGCCAAGGATATAGTACCAGGTGTTCAATCAGAAGGAAAACAGCAATAGACAAACTAAACACTCCATCAACCGTCGTTGGCATGCTAGTAAGCGTTAACCTAGTCTAATCTAGTATTCGGAGCATTGAAACATGTTTCGGATAGCAACAGATTCCCGCCAAGTTGGCATAAGTTACCGTATTACACGGGAAGACGTGAGGGAAGAGACCTATGTCTTTTGAAGCAGCGGTAAAGCAGGCACTTTGAGGTTAGTCTACTAGCATGTCTACTAGCATGCTCAAACTTTATCCCATATATCCATGACTTTGGGAGTGCTCAGTTGAGTCTTTGAGAGGCACTTCGTGATAACTAGATACCCAGATAAATAAGCCCCAGGAAGCAAAAAAGTCTAAGACTTAAAAAAGAGAATGCCAAATCAAACCCACCAAAGAGTCATGCAAGTCTAGGCTAACTTGGCTAATAAATATTTTTGTCGCCTACGAACAAGCGCCTACATAAACTTTCTGGCCTCCTCTGAGGTAGGTATGGTAGTATGCATGCTGGGTGTTGACTGCAATGAGAAGCATGCGATTGTTGTCTCGCCTGAGTCATGGAAACAAATCTTCCATCAGGTCTCTTCGAAAAGAATGCCCTGACAGTACAGTAAGCTGAGAAAAAGTTTAAAGATGTGAGTCTGTCCAATCACAATTGGATCATGTCACCATCGGCGTCGGGTGCAATCAAAGCCCGGGACTTGAAATCGGCCGGGTGTTGGTGGGTCACTGGCAACACCGATTCAAGGCCGGATCGGCGTTTCGGGTCCTCTCAAGGGAGGAGGCATGTTCTGAGGATCGATCCACCATTCGGATATCCCGGACATTGGCTCTGAACCACTTTACCACTGTTGCAATCAGAGACTATCACCACCAAAAGTGTTGTCTGCACGTATGAGGAGATGGCCAATTAAAGAGAAAGTCAAAACCAGTCCTGACATCAAGACCTTGCGTTAGCGACCACCAACTTGGAATCAATGAGCCCTTGAAACAGTGTCTCTTGGCGGAATTGGACCTGAATCAGGGAACCATCACCAAGTCGTCATAGGGACCGGACCATCAAACCTCCAACATCTAACTTTCACCATCCCAAACAGGATCGGGCACGTTATCTTGGAACAGAAACGGAACAGGGTGCCGCAACGTTGCCAAATTCGGGACAGATGCCGTGCCGGGTTAATTGCAGACATGATTGCCATCTCTCCTGGGAGTCTGCCTTGGTTGGTGAGGTGTCGATCAGGATGTCCTCCGCGTGCTGCAAGCCTTGATTCAGGTGATCTACTTACTGTATGTATCGCGTCGCCAGCATCGCTATCTGATCACAGTGTCGGGTGTCGTATTGGAGATTATCAGCGGCCCGGATCTTGCTTGTTGCGATTCCTGGTGTGTGAGCTGTTGTTGTGCCATGCCAATAGGATCGTTGTTGGACGATGGACCCGATGACGGCAAGCGTTTAACCCTTCCAGTCTTGGCAATTGTTGGTGTCAATCAAGTCCCTGAACTCTGGGGGGGGCCAACCTGGGACCTGACCCTAGCGCTGTGCTGATCTGCTGGCGATGCTCGGCTGACATGCAGTTTGTAAGATGGCTGTGCTGTGTACTTACGATACGCTGCAATGCCCAGCCAAGCAGAGCAGCAGCCGGCGCGATTCTCAAATGGCAGACAATGCTTGTTAGCCTTTTAGTGCAAATAGTTGATGCTTGTTTTTGCCAGTCGGTCATTATGTTTTGGAAACACTGAATGATAGATATATAGGTAGATAGATACAACGGACCAAATAGTAACAAGATGCCGAGGTCCTCCTCAACCATCTCAGACCCAACATCGCCCTTATACATTTGTGGACTCTGAATCGGTCCATCCTCAACGCTCACTTCAGTCAGTCCCTAAATCTCATGTTTCACACCCTCTTCGAAGGCGAGGATTTGACCCGACTCGGTGGTGCCACGCACACGTATTGGTTTATCCACACATACCTATGTACATACATACATTACAATCACAATTCTCACTCTACTAATCGCCAAGTCTCACACACATCTCACCCACTTACAGAGAGAGTTCTTAGCATTGATCCACAGGCTATTTCTATGTTTCGATTTTTCCTATTCGTCCTCTAACTGGGCAAGCCCGAGTCCCCTTCCCATTACCCCTTCCCATTCCCATTCCCATTTCCATCTTGGGGTTCCGCCTTCCCCGTCGTCGTCCCCGGCTCTAAAAGTCAATTAACTTAAACATCAGCTGCCCCCAAAACCCCGTCCCCCGTTTCGCCTTCTCTCCTTCCATGCTTCCTCTCTTCGATGTCATATTTCCCTTCCTTCCATCTTGTTTTTGTTCTGTGCCTGTAATACGGTAATACATCGTGGTACATATCTCACCCTTTCCGGACTTCGGCTGCTTGTCTCAACGACTCCATCTTCTGATATACCAACAATCAAATATCCCATCAATAGCTTCCACCGCCCGTCTTTCGCAATGCCTATTCGCAACCCTTTCGCTCGTCGCCCTGGCAGTGTCATCGTTCAAGATGAGAACCAACGCCCTGATTCTACCCCTGGCTTCGAGAAAGTCGACACTGTCGGCTCCAAGTCCGCCCCCGTGTTAAGCATTCGAAGTCAAGGTCGCGACAATGGCGAATACAAGATGAGCGGTATGCCAACCGACCCTAGTCCCCTCCCGTCTCTCATGGCCTCCCCCTCAACCTCCGCAGTGAGGGGCAAGTCATGAAGAGGCGCATTTGGCATATTGTCACAAGACCAGAGGAACTTGGCTAATTTTTCTTTGCGCAACAGTTGTCAACGACAGTGGCGTTTATCTTCCTGTAAGTCGGTTCAGCCCCAACATGCAAAATGTCGGATTTGAAGCTAACGGTCGCAAAGCCATCACCTACTGAGGAAAAGGGCCAGTGGCCTCGAAAGTATCTCACGACCCGCAACTCGACAGATACTCGAAGCAGTTCCGGCGACATTGAACATTTCTCTATTTCCCGCGAGTCCTTTGATTCCTACCGTCGATCTTTCGTATGTATCTCCTATTTTCTGCCGTCCCTCATATCAGATATCCTTCGCATTTGCTCAGCGCACGACTGACATGAGCAAAAGGACATCTCTGCAAGATCGCCAATGCCCAACTGTGATTTCCCAACACGCCAGAGCCTTGACTCAGCACGTCTTCCCCGACTACCTAGATCTGCGATCGAGCGATCATTCGAGCAGCCACCAACCGCCGAGGAGCGTTTTGAAGACGTAGGACTAGACGACCACAAGCAGCAACAACAGCAGCCGGTTCCCCAGGCACAGCCTCAGAAGCGCGGGTTTTTTTCGAAATTCTCCGACAAGGATAGCTCGAGCAATCCTACTGTATCCCGTTTCCTTATGCATGGTCGCAAAAGAGCCCAGAGCGGCCAAGGTTCGGAGCTCACTGCCATGGACAACGCATCCCCCAAGGTGACTGTCTCAACTGATGGTCAAGAAATGCAATGAGATGCACGATCAAAGTTTTTGTTCTTCTACATTGTATTAGAGATACTGGAGTTTCCATTTATGTTCTCGGCGTTTTCGGTTGACTAGGTCGGGGTAATGCTAGATTCGCATTCGCTATGAGACCTGGGTACACCTTGATGGGAAGAATCAAGGATTGGATGAGTGCGGTGTGCAAAGAGCGCTGTGGGCTGAACGTGGAGTTGCAATGCCCAGGCGGACAAGCAACCTTTGCTATGGGGTCCTATCGCTTGGAATTGAACCGAATATGAGCTACATAATGATAATGAGAAGATATACATGTTTCATTGTACCTGCATAATGGCTTCGAGTGGTCGCTGGTCATCAGGGTGCGGACGTTAGAATTATAAGCTATAAGCTCTCGGCCTCTATTACAGAAATATAAACTGAGTGGATATATACGTCTGAGTCGACGAGCAACCGATTCAGTGTTACCTTGTCAAAGTTGATGCGCCATTGATTGGATAATTAGCTTATATGCAGCATAACATGATCTTGCCATAGGGCGTGGTAATGTAGCCGATGGCGGAGACAGTCCAGTAGAAAGAAACCGTAGAAATTGTTCCAACGGCTGCATCCACTTGTTATTGCGTGCTTGTCATTGATAGATTCCTTCCTTAGAGGCCCCGCTCTATCACTCGGAGGGCGCCAGACATGAGCACATATAGACCTGGACTGCTATTATATCCATCAACTTACAAATTTCCATCAAATTCTCAAAACAACTGAAAAGGCAAAGAAGGAGATCATGGCCTCTGACGAAGTTCCTACCAACCTCAAGGACGTCTCATCGGTACCGGACGGTACAGCCGGGGCCCAGACCGGACTTGATAGCTCCCTCGCCGGGCTGTCACTGGCATCCCGCGCTGTTCATGCCGATGAAGGCATCCAGTCACACAGAGCTGTTGCGCCGGCTATGCATGTCAGCACGACTTTCAGGTACAGCAATGACCCTGATGCGCTGAAGGCCTGGGATAATACCGATGTAAGTGTGCATGCTTCCTTGTCTTGATTTGCTGTAGGTGTCTCTAGAAGAAACTACCAGATGGTCTGGAATATCATGACTAGAGTTGACCCGATACCATCATGAACACCCCTGACAGCTTTCTGACTTCTCATGACGAAATTTGCTAAACTTGTGTAGCCCAACAACCCTCTGGACTCTCATGTCTACTCTCGGGCAACTGGTCCCAACACCACTCGTCTCGAGGCAATTCTCACATCCGTCATTGGCGCTCCAACGATTACTTACTCTTCTGGTCTGTCTGCTTTCCACGCCATGTTGGTCCATTTGAACCCTAAGCGAATTGCTATCGGAGATGGCTACCACGGCTGTCACGGAGTGATCAGCATTCTCTCTCGCCTGACAGGTCTCAAGACACTGCCTTTGGACTGTGCTGTTGAGGACCTCGAGCCCGGCGATGTCATCCATGTCGAGACGCCCCTTAACCCCACTGGCGAGGCACGCGATCTTGCAGCATATGCTGAAAAGGCAAAGAAAGCTGGTGCTTACCTGACTGTTGATGCGACATTTGCACCACCTCCTCTGCAGGATCCTTTCAAGTATGATGTTGATGTTGTCATGCATAGCGGTACAAAATACTTTGGTGGTCACTCCGATATGCTCTGCGGTACGCTGTCTGTCAACCACAAGCACAAAGACTGGGAACGTAGTCTCCTCAATGACCGCCTTCTTCTTGGTTCTGTTATGGGTAGCTTGGAGGGGTGGCTGGGTATCCGCTCCCTTCGAACTCTCGAGCTCCGCGTCCAGCGCCAGAGCGCTACAGCTACTGCACTGGTTGCCTGGTTGGCTGAGCAGCAGCGCGATCCTTCATCTGCGATCGGCGCCCTAGTCGAGCGAGTCCAGCACGCCAGTCTCCAACCCGAGGCATCAATCGAGGGTAGTTGGTTGCAGAAGCAGATGCCCAATGGCTATGGCCCTGTTTTCTCGGTGTATCTTCGCGATGGAGATGTCGCTAAGCGACTGCCATCCAAGGTGGAATTGTTCCACCATGCCACTAGCTTGGGTGGTGTTGAGAGTTTGATTGAGTGGCGTGCGATGACTGATCCTAAGATTGATAAGAGACTTTTACGGGTGAGCATCGGTGTTGAGGGTCTTGAGGATCTCAAGAAGGATTTGCTCCAAGGCCTGGAGGCTTTGAGAAAGGAAAAGGAGAAGGGGGTCAATAAATGAAGAGTACAGAGAATTAGAACAAACAGTCATTTTTTCGGATAGAAGGAAGGAAAAAGAGAAACGCTTTGTTTTATAGAGAAAATGAAAAATACATCAAGGGAATGAATATCCTCTACAATGGCTTGCATTGTTTAGATGGCTCGTCCATGAGACAGAGGTTGTCGTGATGCATCAGATGTACACAGACCATAAAGAAAAAAGAGAGAAGACTTGTATGAAAGATCACAACACTGGTCTAACACAATCAAAGAAATGTGACTGTCTGCTCGAAAAAGAAATGCCAGGTTAAATAGAGGAAACATGTGAACCCAACATAACCCATGTATGTATGTATGTAAGTCAGGCAGGCTGTGTTAGAGATGAGAGAGAGAGAAATCTGGGAAGAAGAATAAGAGGAGAGGAAAACAAGAAATGAAACGAGAGAAATCGAGGCGCAATGAAGAGTATAATACTCTTCTAGATGAATTTTCTCCAGAATTTGTAGCTGGGCGCTTGAGATCGTTGCGTAGCATTGAAGTGGAAGTGGTGTAGAATCTTAGGCGCTGATGTGGCCAAGCTCATTCTTGAGGGGGTAACCAGAGGCCAAACCAATTGCTGAGTGGTTTGTACTTGACTTCCCGGCTACGGAGGTACAGGTCAGTAGGGTTTACCTGTTACCAGTGGGTTATAGACGTACCGTGAGCGATCATTGTCGGCAAACGAGCCAACTCCTCGAAGATCTTGCTCGGCTGACCTGGGCTCCATGTGTCGATAGTCCACAGATCTGTTGTCAAGGCGGTAAGATGTAGAGCCTCGAGAGGAAGCTGGGGGAGCATTGGGGTAGTAGCTATCATGCGGTCGATGAGGAATAGAAGTCCTCAAAGGCGGTGCGAGGAAGTCATTGGTGACAGCATGTGTCTGATATGGAGGTGCTTCTTGAGCTCGAGAGGGAAACGTGGGAGAGTCGCTAAAGGCCGGAGATGTCGTGGGAGTTGTAAGATCAGAAACAGCATCTACGACGTTCGGGGGGTCATGGCTGTACTGTTGGCCGAGCCATTGGTTAACCATGGTCTGGCGTCTGTCGTAGGCTTGGGGACTTGGTCGCCTCCAGGCCTGGGACTGGTCTCTTGGTGATGTGTTGGCTGAAGTTGTTCTCTGGTAGTTGTAGTTTGAATCCCAGCTGCCTCTGACAGCCTCGTCACTCCAGTTCCTAGAGCTGTCTGTGTTGTATGTCTGGCCGTAGTGGCGCTGGTGGTGGTTATGGTGGTCTTGTCGACGACTCATGGTTGCTGAGAGTGAAGGACGTTGATGATTGGTCAATTGCGTGTAAGTTGTTTTGAGTGGAGAGTTTGTACTGTACCAGCGATGGTCAAAATAGAACTGGGAATTGAATTGCTTGATGAAGTGAATAGGCAAGTAGCTAGATTAACCAGAGTCTTAATGCATCTTTTTTAAACATGATGTGTTGAAATTTCCCTTGACATATGTCACTTGCTATTGTTTGGATGCCTCTACTCTCAAGCATGCTTCAACTGAGTTGCGGTCGTGGCTGAAGCTTCCCTATTCGCGGGGACGCCGGGAGGCCGCAGCTTTCGGCCAATGAGAAACGCCCGCTCCTCGGAACCCCAGCGATAGTTGATCGTGGCCGTGCAGGGGAACTCTCTCCAAGGGCCTGGGACCCCCCCTGGAGCCGTCAGCAAGCTTACTGGATGCAGGCTAGAGTCAGAACGTTATGCAGGGAATTGGAAACAAAAGACGTCAGTCTTCGCAGGCCGCCGAAGTTGCTGCTAGCCTTGTTCTGGTATCAAATCTAGATGGCTTTCCTAGGATGGATACATACAGGCCCTGGGTTGCTATTATGAGGCTCATCTAACTAATCCAATCCAATCCAATCCAATCCAATGACAGGGACGACTTGGCTATGGAAGTGAATTCACCAACGTCACGCGATTTATTCTTGATCCAAGTTTATCTTGTCAAGACTTTTGAGGGAGCCTGTCGATGCATCATGAAGTTTTCAACAATGCAAGTACAGTACCTGGATTGCTATCGGACACTTTTAAATCCGAAATCCTTTCCAGAGACAAAACAGTTGACATGGAACACGGAGCATAGGTACTTGAGAATCACGATTGTCTCAGACGCAAATTCCCAGGAATTATTCACATCTTTAGCCATCACAAGTCTCTCACAGCTCGTGTCATGACTCTCGGAGGCCACCAAAACCAGGGCATCACGAAAACCAACCAGCAAACAAAACTTGACACCGTCACTAACACTCAGTTCTCTCGGCAAGAGTGCCTCCCGATCGGCTATAGGTGAACCGGCCAGCTAATTCAGCCATCCCGGGTACCAATGCAGCCACATGCTGCATGATTAAACCTCCGAAACAACCGCTCAGAGGGCCTGAGAGCTCTCTCAAGCGCGATAGGGCTGAGCAACGAACCAGAGCCGCGCTTGAATGCTCAAATTAGGATAAGAAACAAGGTTTAGGCGCTGGATAACCTTCGCCAATCTTGGAGCTGATTGCTGGAAGCGTAACTGATGTGCTTGGCTTGCTGCGCTTTCAGAAACGATCAACTGTGCCACTGGGCTGTGTAGGTGTCAGCCCTGTGCACGTCCCCGGATGTTTCTCTGTGCCGCGTCAAGCGCAGGGGTTTGGCTCTAGGCTTGTCTTCCATTGGTCGAAAGAAGCGCGAGCGGGAGCGTAAAGGGTTCCCGTCTGCATGAGGCGCCATGACCATGATGCTCGTCCCCTTTTCGCTGCCTCCCGGTCTCTTTGTTTCCAACCTCTACAACAACAATAACACCACCACACAACTATCACCAACCTCATCCCTCCCTCTTGAGAAGAGGGAGCATGTGCAGGCTGCAGAGTCTCGTTTCTGGGACTTGCGGCCGCAGTTGACCCTAGTCAATGCCCCAATGGCCCGATTCTCCCTTTTCCGCCTCCCCACCAAGCTACGGCGAAGGGTCAGGCGTAATCGCATGGCTACCATTATAGCTCTCTTCGTCCTCGTAGGCCTCCTAATCCTTCCCTTCTACTCGGCCTATTGCGTCTACAAACCTCCGAGATACCTCATCCATTGGCTGCGGAGGAAGTACCCCGACGTCCTTTTCGAAGAGCCCACCGACCAAAAGATCATAGCCCTATCTATCGACGATGCGCCGTCCACCCACACCGACGATATCATGCAAGTCCTGGAGGAGAATGATGCCCACGCTACGTTTTTTGTCATAGGATCTCAGGTTGAGGGTCGCAAGGATAAGCTCGTCAGTTTGGTTGCAAAGGGGCATGAGCTGGGAAACCATGCCATGCATGATGAGCCCTCCAAGTCACTCAGTAACGAAAGGCTGCTGGAGGAAGTCCACCTCGTCAAGGATATGCTGACGGAGGCATATGCCGCTAACGGTCAGATCCTCCCCAACAATTACTTCCGCCCAGGATCTGGAATATTCAACAGGCGGATGCGAGATGTGCTGGGAAACCAGGGTTTTCGCATCACTCTGGGCAGCGTGTATCCTCACGACCCCCAGATACCGTACCCCGACACCAACGCGAAGCATATTCTGAGCATGGCCCACCCGGGAGCTATCATTATCTGCCACGACAGGAGATCGTGGACTGTGCCCATGTTGCGCGCTGTTCTTCCTGAACTCAAGCGGCAGGGGTATCGGATAGTTACCATCACAGACCTTGTGAAGGCGGTGTCGTCGCAAAACCAAGGGCAATAACACCTTTGAGCTCTTGTGAGCGTTTCTTTTACCTATGCATCCATTGAGACGGGGATCATTAGAAAGTTGGGATATGGTCTAGGGTATAGATTGGTTTGTCCATCGAGAAACTTTAAAGTTTAATTTTTAATGACCCGTCTTCTTCTACGAGTTTTTGTATGTTGTATCTGGGCGATGTTAATCTGTGAAAAGTCAGCTTTGTTGTTGACGGAGAGAGAAAGCCTTCATACGTGAATCTAAGTGTGCCCGTGACGATTGAACGGCATCCATCAAGGTATCTCTTCACGATAGTGTGTGTTTGTTCTTGAAACTCAGTCTTATGAAGCAACATATTCGCTGCGTCGTCAAAGTCGTTGACTGCCATTTTCATCCTTTCCTCCAGCTTAGCAACCACAGTATCCAAGCTCATGCCAGGCTCCATGATGGCTGCAATGGCATTGATGACACAGTCAGTCCGTAACTCCTTCTTCAGCGACAGCATATCATTCATCAAGCTCTGGAGAATGCTTACTTGTCTCCACAAGTGAACGATCTCTGGAGCTGACGATAACGCCCCTGGAAGCCTCTCGTCTGTTGCATATGGTACAAGACTGCAGAGCATTCTCCCGCCGACAGTTCCGATCCTCAGTTTCATGTACGGCTCGTAATCAGGTATGCGACTGGCCAAACGAAGTTTCTGCTCGGCTGCGCAGCTGCTGATGAAGAATTGGATCTCATCGTATAAGAGGCGCCGTTGATCACTCGGCGCCGTCTGACAGAACCGCGCACCGAACTCTCTAAACACGCCATTGATAGGATCGTCATCCGCTTCACTCATATTCATTTCATCAAGGGCCAATGCCTCACGCACCATGCGCATAGTCTGCTCCCTCCAACGCTCTGCTCGCATAAAGTCACCCGCAAGATCGCCCTCGTTAGCGTCAACAGCATCATCCCAGCAAACGAGCCACGTCGTGTAGAGAGTCAAAGCCTCCATTTGCCGCCTACGAGCTTGGGGATATAGTGAACAAGCCAGATAAGCAATGTCGTCCTTTTTTCGACGGGCGATCAACGGATATGCTACAGCCATGCGCTCAACCGCTCGATTGACAATTGGCGTAACATGCTCATGGTGGCGGTTGAGCTGACCTTGAGGATTGGGCCAACCCCGGAAGAAATTCTGAAGATTGGGAATATGTAGTGTCTGGCCGCGAAGGGCATCTACGAGCGCGGCTTGGTTTAGACGTGAGTATATCATGAGAAACACATTGGTCAATATCAGCAGCGAAATGTTTCGGATTGGAAAACCCTCGAAATCGCGGGCCTAGAGAAGTGGTCTAGGTTAAGCCTACATCATTAGCTACCTAAGTATCTATCCCATAATATAAACACGGCGCAACGATGACTCAAATGCCCGGGTTCGATTGAATGGACGAAGCTAAAAATCATTCCAGAGCATATATGCATTAGCTTTGCGTGATACAGCAGGAGTGCATTGTGAGACATATATTCAGTTGCTGATCCTGCTCTTGTGAGTTCATGTTGATGTATTAAATATGAAGACACTAGGTAAGCTAGAAGATTTCTGGTACAAGGCTCAACCATTATGCACTCCGTACAGCCTCAACAATTAGCAATTATGCCATGGCAGCTTGGTCGGGAATAAGATGGAAGTATGAATTGGATTGTTAGCCATCCTGTTAAGGTAAGGGAGTTCGTTATTTATCTCTCACACCCTCAACAAAGAAGGTTGAGAAGCCATACGCGTCACATAGAAAAAACCTAGACGCCACAACGGCAGAAGCTGCCCAAAAACTCAAATCCTCAACGAGCACACATGAAAGAAAGGAGAAGAAAAAGAGAGAAGACAAAAAGGGAGCGCAAGGGCAGAGATAGACAAGTCAACATCAAGGGCTACGTCAACTTATTGCCCAAAGTTGGATATCCTCAAGCAGACTTTTGAGCCCCTACTCTAATAATACCAAAATTGCTGTTTGAGTTAGAGTGAGGCGTGTTTCCGATCCTGCAGCGGCCCTTGTCCAATTGCCGGAGTTCAAGAGAGGCAGTCCGTCCAAGTAGCAGCAGAAAAAAGCAACGAGCACCACATGAAAATGCTCGTTGCTAATTGATGAGAAGTTTCACAATGTCTCATTCTGCTGCACACGTATTTTTAACCTTCAGACGGTTTGTTGCAACGACTGAAGATCAGCAGTTTCAACTTAACTCAAATCAGTAGCACCGAAATCTTCGCTCTAGAAACGGAAATCGGAGTGTGGAAAGGAAAAATTGCCGTTTATGGCGAGTGTGTAGGCAAGTAGCTAGGTAGATAGCATGACCAAGTATCCATCTAGATACAACATCATGAAACAAATCATCCAGCAAAAGAAAACAGGTATCCATCCCATACATAGATCCATCCGTCCATTCATCCATCCATCCAGTCCTTATTCCACCCTGGCCCTATCAAACGCCCCATTGAAACCAATGTCCGGTCAAACACTCTTTGAGCATGTGAACATCAGACACGGTCCTTTCATTCAAAGTAACCCAAACCAAACCAGACCAAAAGAGAGTGATCAAAGAGAAAAATCTTCAACGAGTGAATAGATGCCGTTCCGTAGAGCAACCAATAACTATGTACCTTTTTAGTCATGTCTGCCATTGTCCAACTCAGGACCCCCTTCTCATGGTCGTAAAATGTCTATTAAATATGTACTGCCGAATTAAGAAACCGGAGTGCCGGTCAAGAGTGCGTCTTTGGATCAAATCCACTGCGGCGTCGTAGGCTTGGCATGTGACACCTCAGGAAAGAAACTGAGGATGAGGCTCTGAACGTCGCTGAGATACTCTTCAGGAGAGAACTTGTTCAAACCTCTGGACTTCATGAATCGGTGGTCCTCCTCATCCTCCTTGGTCGTCGGCCTGGTGCTGTACTCTTCGGCAAGCTCAGTGACTTGTGCAAGCTCGTGACCAAATGGGTGTGAATCCTTGAGAACTCGCTGCTGGAAAGATGGCGGGGGAACTGGAGCGACTGCGGGGACTGCTGGAACAGGCATCGGGGGAGCCTTCTGGGCCTGGCTGGCAGAGACGTATGAAGCTGATGACGCCCTAGTAGAAGTTGACGATGATCGTGAAAAGGTGAAGCTGGCCTTGGTCGATACTGAGTGCTCTGAGTCCCTGGACATCTGCGAGGTGGACCGTTGACGGGCGAGCGCTTCGTATGAGTTCTGCTTAGTGTGCGAAGGCGAACGCTTAGGAATTGCAGGCGCCTCGGAGATCTTTGGCAGGATAGCTGGCTTGTCCGAGACACTGAAATAGGTTGACAGATGGTTCGGTTTAAGACCTGGGCACTCTTCGACAGGAGATACATCCGGGCTCGTAGGGGGAGTTGACTCCGTAGTTGAAGGAGCCTCGGATTCTTCGCCAACGGAACGAAGAGAGGACTTGCTGCGGAGAGCAGCATGCGGGATATCGGGAGCGTTGTAGGAAAGCATGTTGGTTGTGTGGACAAGCTGAAGTGGAGCAGAAATCTGGTGTCGTAGAATAGGATGCTGTTTATCGCGGGCCGAGTTACTACGGTGCGGCACTTGAACTTGTTGCTCTCCCATCTCGGACTGGCCAGCCATTTTGGCCCTTCTAGTTGTGAAAGCGCGTGAGAGGGACATGGTTGAAGATTTGGTTTCTGAGTTACGTCTTTTCGTTTTTCGTTTTGGGTCTTATTCGGGTTCTATGTGAGTTTATGGGGTGACGAGGAGTTGCTGCTAATGAACAACGTCCTGTGACAGAGGGGATCGTCGAAAGGCTCGTGCCACTGACTTGACACCAATTTTCTTTTTGAGGAAAGTTTTGCTTGGATCTATTGCCAGACAAGCGAGCAAGGAGTGTTGGTGTGAGGTGATTTCGGTTGACGTTGAATGCGTAGTGAGACAAGGAGTCCAGTCCTTTTGAGTTTATGAATAAGATGTCCGTGTTAGATCCGAATTCTGGAGCGGAAGATCAACGTCTGGCGTGATTCGATGTGAGTGAGTCGGTTCTTCGAGAAAGACAGTGATTCACGTAGACCGGCTCTGCAGTGACAACGTGGAGAATGTGGTGGTTGCAAGGGAACGTTCAACGTCGAAAATAGGTGTATCGGTCGGTATCCGTGAGCTTGTTTGATCGATCCTGCGACGAGGGGATACAAGAAAAGAGTGAGAGTGTAAATGAAGGAAGATAAAGAGGTTCTGGCAGAGGCAGAGAGATAGAGAGTTAAATCAATGCACACTGAGAAGCAAACACGATCAAGGGAGCGATGGATCGTGATACTTCGTATTTTCGACAAGAATTGAAGATACAGGCCTTTTCCGACGTATGCAATGCAAGTTTGTCGAAGGACAAAGACAAGGACAGAGACGGAGGCAAAGGAGAGAAAGCCAAGCGAGCAAGCACTTGAGAATAACTAGATGGAGAGAATCGAACTGAACGGCAGGCGTGGGGACGGGGGGATGAAACAAAAGATATGGGGGACCCAAGCCCTGCTAACAACTGCCTGATTTGAGAGCTGAACCTAGCCGAACCCACCTTCGGGCAGTGGACAGTACTGTACACTCAGCGGAGGTGGGCACCGGCCTTTCACTGTAAGTTTAGCGCGCACCTGGCCATGAAGCCTGCCCGGGCTGTGAATTGGAGGGCAGCTAAACTCACCTACCTAGGATTTGACTTTTGGCCTCCACTAGGTTCCATTGCAACGGCCCGGCCATCCCCCTTGTGGCCATCCCTAGACAAAGACCCATGTCCCTACAACTAAGCTCTCATTGGCCGACGCCCCTGGCTAGAAGAACACTTGAAGCAAAGAATCCTGGTCTCGCGTCAATGAAGCTAGCCAATCGCGTGTATTCTCTCTCTTCCTCTACCCCTGGTCACTTTAGTGATCGGTCCACTGATTTGGTTTTTTCTCTCTTGTCTGTCTGCATGGGAAAACCGGCGACCAGCGCCAACAAGAAGGGCGAGGGAGGGAAAGAAAAAAAAAATCAAAAATCAAAAATCAAGCTGATGTCTGAAGATTCGTGCTTAGGTGTCGTGCAGATTCTTTCTGAGCAATTGAGTGTTTGTCATTTCCATGTCTTGCAACTTATTATTGCCACCAGAGAGTAACTATAGCACAATATTGGTGTACGTGATCAAGCCCAAGAACGCCAATGGTGATACACGATCGATGATACACGCGTACCTACAGCACCCTAATTGTTTCTTTTTCGTCTCTTAATTCGTTACAGCTTAGAAACAAACATCTTATGCTTTGTTTCTTTCGCCTTCTGCCTTGATTTCCCAGTTGGTACCTAGGTGGACCGGAACCAAATGGTGAGGCCTTTGTTTCCCAGCTAAAGGTACAGTAGCATATATGCACGTCTATGTTGGCTTCCCACCAACACCTCATGGAGCTCTTTGCTGGGCCATTCACCATCAATCTTGACCCTCCATCCTCTGCCTATCCCACCATTCACGGCGGCGACATGACCCGCGCGCTACCAGCAGAGCCAAGCAAGGAGGAACCCATTTGAGTGATGAACGGGGCCAACATGGAAAAATTCTATTCTATCAATCGGGTTACACCGATCGCCAGGGGATGGATGCAAGCACTCAACTGCAGTCTGCAGTACAGTACAGACGCCCAATTCTTGTTTGACAGCTTGGCTGACTGGATGCAGAATATGCGTTCGTATGTGATGTGTTGTTATTGCATGACCAGCTCACACACAGCCAAGTCGAAGATCATCACCGGGAACTGACTAAATGGGCTGGCCGAATTGTACATTCGCAGTCGAAAGCCACACCGTCCACGTCTCGTCTCAGTTACCTGACAAAAAGAACCTTCACACACAGTAATTGAGTCGTGGTCATGGCCTTTCGGAAATGACCAGAGCTTCCTCAGGCATATCAAAGAACAAGCTTTCAAACTCTGGTTGACCATTCCCCCTCAATCAACTCGTCTCTAAGCCTCAAGAAGCCTTTGATTGGGTCAACGCCTTCACGCCATTACCGTTTTCTCCTGTTTCAGGCCCATGTGCCTGCGCAAGCGGATCCAACTAGAGCCCTGAACTGTGATGTGATGCCGTCTAGGTCCGTAGAGACTACGTATGAGACAGGCAGAAAACCAGCATGACCCTCCGTTCCTGCTTAATGCCGTATGTTTTGGGGGCTGGTAGATCCTCCGCTTTCGATAAACGAATTTGTTGAACATGGCATGGTCACAGCTTTTGTCTCCTCCACTCCAGTGTGAGAGGCTAGAGAGGATGGATGGCCATAATACAAGGTACCTTACCTTGAATAGTACGTAAATTGCTGCACCTTGAGAAATTCCGTAGATATACGGATATTATATTGAGTATTTAATGTCATGTCCTCAGACCCCTCGCTTTCATGTAATACCTATCGTTTAACTGCCTTACCACGGAGTATATTCTCGTGGATGTTCTACACTGACATGATCCGTTCTTCAACCGACTCCTAGGTAGCTATGGGCCCGGCGCACAGAGGTCTCATTTCGCAATGTCCAACCATCATCACGTTCGTCTTGTGTTGGACTGTCCGAGACTGGTCCTTGACAATGCATTCTCACGACTCAGTGCCACCGCCCTATTTTCGGCGCCTGTGACGTGTGAACGTCTGTTCTCAGACAACCCAAAGATGACGACGGCTTGGTTCGCGAGCCACCTCAGATCCAAGAGGACCCTTAATTTTCCCCTTCCACCAGCTAGCTATCTTATCATGCTCCCATATTGTTTCTATGCCCATCTCGTTCCGCCGCTCACTAAAAAAAGAACCCAAGGTTGTTTGAAGATCAGATCCAACTTTTCCATTCCTGTTCAGAAACATCGTCTATCTAAGGTAGTCGATTTATAACCCCCCCAATGTCCATCGCTGTGAAACAGTTCCTGTGCGCCAGTGTGCTTCATTCATGCAGAGTACTCTTTTCCTCGGGAGTCGCCCTCTAAGTTAGAGCGGGCAAGACATGATCTTCGCAACAATCGACCATTGTCAAAGCTCTCTAGGGGTCGCCGCGCCATTGTCCACTGAGACAATGATCTCATCCAACCTCAACCTAGGCGGTGGATCTGCCCAATATCTTGGTTCAAAACATTTTCAATAAATAAGACATTCGTCTAGTTCTCATCCATCGAATCATCATCGTCCTGCTTGTCATCCTCCTCATCGTCATCGTCAGAGCTGTCATCGTTGTTAACACCCACGAGGCGATCTTCACCCTTCCCGCGCTGCTCGGGCACCCGCTGAGCAAAGGCCTTGCGCACCGACGCGTTGGTGCTGGTGTCCCACACGTGCATTGTTCCCTTGCTTCCGGCGACGGCGAGGCGGAAGGCAACCTCCGGGTCTGGCGCGAACGTGGTGGAGAAGACCTTTCCGACGTCGAGGTTGCGCGAAACCACTACAGAGGGCCCTGTGGGCTGGATGTTCCACAGCTTGACCGTCTTGTCGGTCGAGCCGGTCACCATGTAACCGGGGACCACGGGGTTGATATCGAACGAAGACACAGACTCGTCGTGAGCCTGAAGTGTCCAGACAGCCTTGGTGCCCGTAGGGTCGGACGGTGCATTGCGGACATCGTGGTAGTGGATGACACCGTTCTCCGTGGACACGAAGAAGAAGTTCGGGTCGTGAGGATCCCACCGCACATTCTCGACGTCGCTCTCGACGCCCCATCGGGGAGGCTTAGCATCTGGTGCACGCATATCGGCAGCCACCACAGTTCGGTCGTAAGAACCGCTAAGCAGAACGGTAGGCTCGTTCGCGTGCCACGCAAGTGAGCACACCTTGTCGGTGTGATAAGTATACGACTTGGCGCACTTTGCCGTGTTGAGATCCCACAGCTTGACCGTCTTGTCGGCAGAGGCTGAAGCCATCAGATTGCGATGCTTGCGGTTTGCAGCCAAGGACAGGACAGCGTCAACGTGGTGTTCGTCGTTGGACTTCTTGGACTTCTTCTTCTTCTTTTTTGACTTCTTCTCCTCCTCGTTGCCTCCCTGGCCGAGGATCGCATTGGGGTACATGCAGTCGATGGTGTCCAAATCCCACACCTCGATATCGGGGTCCATTGTGCCAACGGCGACGAAGTTACCTGCCGAGTCCTTCTCTACACCGGCCTTGTTGACGGGCATGTCGATCCACTCGACACACAGAGGGATGGCTGGCAGCATAATGTCGTGGTGGACGTAAAGGTTGTCAGCCTCATCCTCGTAAACGAAAACCTCAAGGTGCGCCATCTCGTCTTCAACCTTGGCAGCCACAATAAGATTGTCAGTCGCGAGAATCTGGAGCTCTTCCCGGTCCTCATCCTCCTGTTCCTTGTCGGCATCAATTGTGATGTAGGGGTCGTCCTTATTCGACTCGTAGTATGCCAGCGACTTGATGTTACCAAACATACCCATGCCCTCGCCGTTTCCAGGCACATCTTCGTCGTCGTCGTTGTCGTAATTTTCCAAATCATATTCTTTTAGGTCATCATCATTAAGGTTGATCCTGAAGCCGTCAGTCAGTCTCTGTCCTTCTTCTCAGATATTTGTTAGTTACGTACTCTGTCTTCTCGGCCGGGTTGTCTTCATCAACCTTCATCTCCGAGTCCTCTTCATCGTCCGTGGTCTGGTTAGCCTTCGTCCCCTTCTGCGTAGCTTCAGCTTCCTCGAGATCCTCTTGGGCGTCGTCCAGTTGAAGCTTGGCAAGCTCCGCTATCCGTTCAAACTCTGCCTCATCCAGGGTATACTTCTGAGGGAAAGGCGCAGCGAAGCCCCTGGGGACCCACTGTGCGGCTGTAATCATGGAAGACATGGTGATTGTCTGGGTATCTTAAAATGGTGTTGTGAAAGTCCTGCTTGCATCGGTAGGTGGGCGCCTAGATAAATTTCTCCCAAAATTTCTAGTGGGGTTTATCGATAAGAGGCCTACCCATGAGGGGACGTTCGCTACCTAACACTTAAATGACAGTGGTCCAGAAGGTAGTGGAGGGAGGGAAGAAATCTCAGGACTTCAATCCTAAACCGATGAAAGGATTTATAGATCAGTTGGCATAAGCTTAAGGGACTCTTTAATAAGATCACCCTGGCATTGGGACTTAGGGCATGAAGTTGCTTTGCTCTATGAGCCTGTCCTGAGAGTGCAAGAAACTAGCTAACACTTGTTTGATACCCATATGGCTTGTCAAAAGGTTTTCACAAGGCTACGAGTAACCGTTATACCATGATATTAAGAACTGAGGCAAGTGAGAGCTATGCTATGATTTATCAAGACATGACCACGAGCCTGAAATGACTGGCTCTATAGAGCTACAAGTAACCAAGCTTACCTAGGTTAGAATAATAGAAACTCATCCGAGGCGCCGCTTAAAACCCCCTACCGCGTCTCTTTATGACAGGCTTTTTGACTGCACCTTGTGTTACAAACTTCTTACCGTCTGCCCCTATCTTCTTGCTCTTCTTTTGAGTCCGATCTTCTTCTATCTGTTTCCTTTCTTCGTCCTTCCGCTTGTCATCAGCCATCTTGGCCTCAATCTCCATCTTTCGGTTGAATTCTGTTTCAGTGATTCGTTTATCCCGAACCGAATAACCCTTTTCCTTAACCGAGTAGAAGACACCACCGAGATCTGCAAGCCAGTGGGGGTCCACGGCTGTCACTGTTGAAACATAGACCTTGGAAGTGAGGATCAACTCGTGGTAAACGATGTAATCCGGTGGGTGCCCTGCATACAATGCGCTTGTTGGGTGCAGCTGCACACCGAGGTTGGTGCGCAGGTTGATGTATTCGCCTGAGCCTTTGTATTTGGCTGCTTGGTGGTAGTATCCCGAGCAAATGCACTTGCGGACAATGTCCCAGTCCATTCCACAGCTTGTCAATTCCATCTTTTGCATACGGACAATATCCAAAAGCTGTTCACGAATTTCCTTGGCCCGCCTCAAAGATTTCGGGTGTAGAAAGTGCTTAACACACCAGCCGTCGGAGTAACCGTTGGCCTTCCAGTTTGTGTAAACCTGGAGGTATGTCAAATGATCTGACTCATGCACCCAGAATTTCTCGCGGGCAGCATCAGCTTCTTCTTGTCTCTCCTTCGGTCGGTAGAAAACGTTTGGCACGGACAGCATAGAAACAATGGTAATCATCTCTTCACTGCAGCCATATTCTTCCGCTGTAATGAGAAGCTTGGCCAGCGAGGGGTCCATGGGAAAAGCACTCATTTTCTTTCCAAGATCAGTAAGCTCACCGAGATTGTCAAGCGCACCAAGAGCCCATAAGTCAAACATTGATGTTGTGATAGTGTCTTGCGGAGGAGGGTCCATAAAGTCAAAGTCCAAGAGGTCCTTGACGCCGAGAGATTTCAACATCAAGACAGTGTTAGCAAGATTCGTGCGCTGGATTTCAGGAATAGTCTGTAAGTACAGATCTTCCTTGAACTCCTTTTCTGAGTACAGTCGAAAGGCCTTTCCAGGCCCGGTTCGACCGGCTCGTCCTGAACGTTGCGAGGCGTTGGCCTGCGAGATGGGTGTGATCTGAAGCGTATCCATGCCGATTTTCGGATTGTAGACTTTCATCTTGGAGTAGCCAGCATCCACGACGTATTTAATACCATCGACCGTCAAACTAGTTTCAGCAATGTTGGTGGCGACAATGCATTTTCGGACACCAGGCGCAGCTTTGTCGAAAATCTTTGCTTGCAGATCTGCAGGCATTTGACTGTATATAGGTAAGATACTCAGCTTTGGGGGGTCGTTGAGGGCATCAAGTCGTTTTTGGATAAGCTCGCAAGTGATTTCGATGTCTTCTTGACCTGTCATGAATACTAAAATATCGCCAGGGCCCATTGAAACATGAATTGACAACACTTGATGAACTGCCTGGTCTACATAATCCTCAACGGGAGACCGATGAAACATGACGTCGACCGGGAAAGTTCGTCCAGGAATGATGAACTCAGGTGCACCACCAAAGAAGTCTGAGAAGCGTTTCGAGTTCATGGTGGCCGAAGTGACGATGAGCTTCAGGTCGCGACGCCTCTGCAAAATCTTCTTGAACAAACCCATCAGGATATCTGTGTTCAAGGCACGCTCGTGGGCCTCGTCCATGATGACACATGAATATCGATCTAGATCAGGCTCGTTGAGGGATTCTCGCAAGAGAACACCATCGGTCATGTATTTGATGACTGTCTCTTTGCTGGTGCAGTCTTCAAAGCGAATCGCATAACCGACCGTGCTTCCTAACTCAACCTCCATCTCTTCAGCAACACGCTTGGCTACACTCATTGCAGCCACGCGTCGCGGTTGTGTACATCCAATCATGCCCGTCTTTCCATATCCATCCTCTTGGAGGAACTGCGTCAGCTGTGTCGTCTTGCCAGAACCTGTCTCACCAACACAGATAACAACTTGGTTTTCTCTAATGACACTGAGAAGGTCTTCACGAACTGCAAACGCAGGCAGATATTCCCGTTGCTCCCGTAAGGTCTTGCTCTGGCTGAAGTTACTCGCGCCATCGGCCTTCTTCATATGTGCGCTGAATTTGTTACCCTTGCGCTCACTCGGGTCGGCGTTATCTTCAGCAGGTAATGGCAGTGCAGAATCGCCGTCTTCCTCTTTTGCACCCATAATGTTTCCAAGAGTCGTTCCGGTCATGCTTGTGGCTTCCTTGGCTTGCCGTTGACGTTCTCTTTGCTGCCTTGCTTCCTTCACCACCTTACTGCCCTTGCGACTGAAAACGGCCATATGACTCTGAGGATCTTTGACAGCTGGAATTGGTTCTAGTTGCTTTGTGAAAATAGTTCGTCCGTCCAGAAAGGGTGGCCGTAGATCGTGTACCAGAAGATGAACTCTAATCGACTCATCATCGTCAATGAAGTCGGATGCCATATCCCGTCTTTGCGCGACGCCTGATTGCAGCATTCGGTTCGTTTCCCAAGCATCATTCTCTCGGTTCCTCTGGTCTCGCCGCGCGTCAAAACGACTAGTCATCTTTTCGTGTCGGGCGGTTTCCTGTTGCTGTCCTTCCCAGGAGTCGTAGGAGGCGAATGGGTTATGGGCTTCATCTCCAAAACTGTGACCGCCAAATTCATCACCTCCGTACCAGTCTCGGTCTAACGCCTTCGAATCCTCCTCGGTCGGTCCTATATTTCGGGGCGGTGGTGTAGAAGCATAACGCGATTGTGCCCTGTGGGGAGTTGAGGCGCGCGAATCATTCTGAAATCTTTGTCGAGGTGTATCAAGTCGTCTCCTCTTTGGATTTGGGTTATACCCATCGTACTCTCGATCCTCCGCCATTGTGTTGACTTGTAAGTTATCTGTCGATGCTTGGACTTTTTATTGCGACTGATGAGTTAGACCCAGATAAGCATGCCGATAATGATCACGTGAATAGTTCGATTTGATTGTAAGGTACGGAGTACCTAGGATAACTGTAATAAGAATGCACGAAATTTGACAAAGAATTCAAACACATCATATATTTGTTGAAGCAAGTTCTTTAGCGTAGCTTTAAATGTATCATAGGATAGGATATTCCTGTGTCTCATAATGTCAATGCTTAGACAATTAAGGCATGGTAACATGAGAGGCTCGTCTTAATGAAACCCCTTTCTGTCCACGCTATGATCGAGTGCACGAGTACGTGGTATTGCGGCATTCCTTTCTGCAAACACAGATTATATCTGGAGGAACAAAATGATACAAGTATTGGACTACTCTAATCATGATTTTGTTGCATAGGCTTTGTGTCAGGCCTCGTCATCACTAATTTTCAACGAGTAACAACAAAGTCATTCTCATCCTCGATGATTTGCCGATCTTCCTGGGAGACTCTAACCACGCGAGCAGATCTTGGGCCATTGTCTACATCCCTGAAGAATTTCGATAGGATTTCTTCACTGGCTTGAGCCTCGCCCTCGACCTATGAAAGCTCTATATTAGCCAATGCCAACTTGCCGGGGGCTTATATGCACCTTTTCATCCTTCGTGTTTCGACACCATCCCGTCACTCCGTACTCTTGGGCCTTCTTCTGAGTAAAATACCTGCTATGCATGAGATGCGATGCCTCGGGATTTGTTATCTCAGATAACCGTACCGGAAACCAACACCTAGGTAGATGACGTCAGTTCAAATGAATACTACATAACATGTTGAAAACAGACATACCTTGAACACGTCCCTCAACGGCAAAATAGACCTTTTAGAAAGTTAGCTCTGGCTTCATAATCATTGTAAAAGATGGCTCACACGTTTCGACATATTAGCAGGTCACAGTTTAATAGGCGATATATACTAAGGTTATTGTAGAATAAAAGTCAAGCTTGATGCTTGGGAAGGGTTGGAGAAGAGCTAGAGCTTCTTAGCAATCAATGATAAATATGAAAACACGGTGACTTTCTTCGCCTGTGCTTCGCCTGTGAGATATGATCTAACCTTTATGTCAATTGCTTGCTTTTCAGGTTACTAGCGGATAGATATGTCGGGTTTAATAGGTCGCTTACAATGGAAGGAAGGTGCATGGGCGTTGAGCTCAGGTTGATGATAAGATAAGGTAAGTTCCAAACCTCCACTGATGTCACTCATCAAATCCGTGCGTTTCCACTGACTAAATCAACACCTTTATTTATCCCTTGTTTGCAGCGCGAAGACATCACTTGTTACAGGGCCCGCGCGCAGACATATCGAGATATTTATGGAAGTCCACTCCTCGGAGCCGGCTACAGAGCCGGTCCGATTCCGCACTGGCAAAAAACGAAAAGCCTATCGTCAACGCGTCCAGGAAGATGACGCCTCTGTCACAGAAACAATATCATCACATCCTACTGCGTCTGCATCAGAACCCAGTCACGAACTCACCCGAAAGGCCTCATCAGATCGCGCCCAAGATGAAGAAGAATCTGTTGCTGCTGCGCTCAAGCTGCGCAATGCGCGAAGAGCCCGACTTGGAGGCGTCGCATTTCGAAACACAAACCGCCCAGACGACGATATGAACAACGAGCGTGCTCTTATTCCACACGACGCAGATGATGCTTCAAATAACGAACCCATCATGAAAGGAGTTGCGGATAGATTTACCCACCAGACGGGAAGACTTACAGATCTTAATGACAAGCATATGTACGTTGAGGACCACCGTCTTTGTCATTCTTCCTCACCATGCAATAACTAATCATTCAAGGATGGATTACATAGAATCCCGATTATATAATCGCGCGGGCGGAAACACCTCACATAATACTTTATCAGCGTCTGCATCAGACCCAGCTAGGCAACCTTCTGCAACAACAGCAAACCACGAGAGTGGACGTGCAGTAATGCAAGGCCAGTTGATGGAGATCAGTCTCGAAGACCACTCTGCTCGAAGTGAGAACGCTCTTCAAGCAGATAGTGCTACAGACGGCGGACCAAGAGCCAAGAAGCCTAGACTTAGAAGGAATGGCACGCCATGGCGTCCGCGAAACCGTCGAGATAGTGACGCCCTCAAACGAGATCAGATCGTTGACGAGATCCTTCATGAAACAAGACGTACGTCTCTAATTTCCATGTCCCTCAAATTAGCTACTAAATCATGTTTCCTAGTCGACTTATACGAACCGACTCCAGGACAAAACAGCCACAATGCAGTTGCCGATCAGGATGGTGCCGCTGATGCGCGGCTCGCCGAGGAGTTCCGACAGCAATTCCTTGAGGATGTAGCAGAACGACAGCTTCGCAAAAAGAAGGCAACGAACCAAACAACGCGCGCCGGTACGGAGGAAGTACTCAAAGGCCCTAAACTCGGCGGCAGCCGTAACGCCAGAGCTCAGATGAGAGACCTTTTATTGAAGAAAGAGAAGGAAGGAAAGAAGTAGTATGGAATGTTGAGATACGTATGGTCTCTATTTATCTGTGGCGTTGGGCGGTTCTGGTTTTGTACCTCTTTTGTACCGGTTTAAGGATTCACACACATGGGACGCATCACCTTCTTATGATCACAAAAATAATCATTTATAACTGACACCTTAATCTTGTAAGTGTAACCATAGCAATTCCGTTGAACACTTGCATTCATATTCATATTGACTACTTAGTCTGTAACGATTGATAGTGGTGGGGGCATTTTGATCCAACGATCTGACAATATGAAGAAAATAGTCCTAAAAAGAAAACCTCAATGATAAGCTCCGACGTCCAATTCTGTATAGTCGCAAGAAGACGGCCAATAAAACAAGAAAAAGCACTTAGCAAAAACTCCTTTACCCAAGTCCCATATATAGCAATTTTCCCAAGTGTGCAGGGCAAGGCCCAACATTGAAATGAATGAAGATTGAGTCGCTTGGCACAATAGGTATCGATCCCGTGTCGTAATTCGCCTTCCGTCTTGCTCATGTGCAAGATCATTTGACTTCCGTCATATGCCAGAACGCCAAACCCAATGTATAATGTTAACCGTCAGAGAAACCCATGCGTGAAATCTTGACCGACGTAATGGAATGTGAGTTTCGGAAAACCCTTTATCTAATGTCGAGCTGGAAAGGCTTGAACCGCCCGCCAATTGTAGCACAGCGGGGACACTTCCTTCTTGCTCCATGCTCTGTCATGAGAACCTCCACACAAGTTGGGCAAAGGCCACAGATACATTCGGTACATGCATACGAATCCTTGAGTAGAGAGAATCCTTGACAGGCAGCGCAGTATATCTGAATATTCTGGGCCGAATATCTTGGTGACGAATCAGAAAGCCCCCGGGTTCCCATATGAAAGTTGTCGCCGCTTTCACCACTCTCCACGGACGGAAATGGCTCTACAGCATCCTGACCATATGATGGAGGCGTGAGAGCCTGCTGGAGAGGCGAGGCTTGGTAACTGGCCGGCTGAAATTGAGGCTGGTGGGAAAATGGCGGTAACGATGATCTATGCATTGAAACAGGCGACTGAGGGACCTGAGAGCCTGTTAGTCAATTCAACAGTGCAAAGGCGACTATCATCAGTAGGTGCACATACAGGAGTACGGTCTTCGTCTATATCACCAGCAGCAGAAGCGGCTTGATCAGCTGCATCGATAAGATCTTCCCACCGCTTCCCGAAGTCTGCGGATGGTTCTGCTGACAAAGCCTTCCGATCATTACCTGGTCTATATCGTTCTTCATTTTGAATTCGGCGTAGCCAGTCAGTTGCAGATCCTTTAGAGTTCTTCTTTTTGTGGTGAGGCTCTCGCCCTCGCTTTGTAACAGACTGCTTGCGAGGCCGATTAGGTCCCACAGAACGCTGAAGAGGTGGGAGTGTTGAGGATCTTCCAGGTGGTGAGTTTGCCAGAATGGAAGGGAGAAAGTCGCGCTGTCTATTAGATTTGGCAGATGAATAAGGGTCGCTAGTAATATCATGATTGGAAAGATTGAGAGGCGGCAGCTCGATGGATGTCCGTGGCCTACGTCGAACATCCATGTCTGAATAGTATTCCTACGCATCATTAGCCCTGGATGGCGATGATTCGAATTCTTTTAAGGGCATTTCACTCACACCGTCCAAATCCATGTCGCGTTCACTCTTGACGCCATGAAGTTCGGCTAGGGCAGCAGCGGCACTGGCTGTGCCAAGCATTGGGCCTGAAACCGGCCCGCCATTACTGAAATCATCTAGAAGGCGCGGAGTGCCCGGATTACTCGACTCGTCGCGATGATAGTTGTGTCGCTCGTGAAAGCCTTGAAGGTGGTCAATGGGCGGGGGCAGGCTGGAGTGAGAGTGGGACAAACCCTGAGCATTTGGAGCTGAGGTCTGATCTAAAGGGCGTCGCTCCGATGGTGGAGTGTTAATCATTAACAGGAAGCTCTCTTCTGTAGCTGGAAGCTTCGAGATGTAGTGCTCGGGGTGTGCGCGGCGGATATGCTCCTGCATGGAACGATATCTTTTTTCCTGCAATTGGACATTTAGAATCGAATGGGTACCGTTGCATGGTGTTACGGGAACGTGCTTCCTCAGTTGGGAACAAGTGCGGTAGGTGGTAAGACATGACGATGTAAGGTGGGTTGGTGCAGCAATGGCAACTCAAGCCCGGCTGCAGGGCAAGACAGGGCAGAACAGCTAACGAAGGCAAGACCCAAGGACTTACACCAATGCATCTCTTGCGACAGCTGGAGCCATCCTGGTTGCGAAGAGGGCAGACTACCTCATTGTTGGAGTCTGTAATAGAGAAAGACGACGTCAAAGATGATCGAGGCGGCATCTTGACCCCACCATACGTGATGGCTTGCTGGCGGGGGGTACTATAGCGATAAGAGACTGAGAAGCGAGATAAGAGATGATAGCGATGAAGCTCAGCTTTCAACGAGAAGATCAATTGGTGACAATGAAGCTATGCAAAAACCGTAACATTTCAAAGCGCAGCTCATGGACAATGAAATGAGCTGCCTTTGAGCATGGGCAAGCTTTGCTACGGGAACCGTTTCGAAATTGGACCAATTATGCGACAGTGGTTGCGTACACGATTGGGGCGTCGATTGAGGTGGTGATGGAGGCAGTTAGTGAGAAAGCGATGAATCCAATCTCTGTTTAAGAATATCGATAACCGTATGTTGAAGAGTCTAAGTTGGATAAGACGCGAACATAAATATTCGATCGAGAAGGTCACTTCTTTGGAGAAAAGGTGGGTTGCAAAGAAGGATGATGGAGGGAAGGAGGGTGAGTGGGAGGATGGAAGAAAGTAGACGTAGGTAGGTGCAGGTAAGTAAAGATGACAGGAGCTTGGGAGGTCGAAAAAAAAAGAAGAGACGGAAGAAGGTGGGAGGCAAAGACGCCTTTTGGGTAAAGCGTGTGAGTGAGTAATAAGAGCAACAACGCAATAGCGAAGAAGGTAACGGCCAGAGAGAGGCAAGAGGAGGGTGTGAGTCGTTGAGTGTGTGGTGTGCGGTGCTGCCGAGGGAAGCTGAGCTCGAAGATCTGGATGAGAGCTTTGGCCGACCTTGGACCTAGGTACTGAGGTAAAGTGAGGCAGGTATTGAATGTGCTTTGCTCACATATCATCAGCACCAGCATCCAGATATTTACGACAACTGTACAAATATCTAATATTACAAAGAAGCTCACAAAAAGATAAGCGCAAGGAAAATATCAGAGGGCATGAAAAAATTACCAATAACTAGGTACCCAAAGGCAAAAAAACTCTGGCGGCAGAGGGCGTGTGGGCAACAGAATCAAGGCCAGTAGCGAAAGATTCCGCGCAAACAAGACTCTCTGTCTGGTTTTTAATGCCCATTCATTGCTCACTTGACAAGGGACCACAGCCTGAGCTCTGGGCTCCTCCTCCGACTGCCATGCCATTGCTTGCAAAGCCATGCCTTGCGCTTCGCCTCCACTACTGGAGATCTCAGCTGCCTCGAACGACTTGATCTCCGGGGCCAATAGTATTGACGCACAGTTCTGGGGTGCGGCTACAAAAAGCTGTCTAACAGTCTTCTAACCTTCTCCAGCTTCCATTCCATCCTTCTATGAGCTCTGTATGGCCACAGTCAGACATCCATTAGTAAAGGTCCTGTGGCTCCTCGAGCAAGCTGATGAAGCTTCGATCTTGCAGGCTCTCAAACTCTGTAGCGACACAGTCATTCCCAAAAAAAGATTCTCCAAGCGTCTGTAACATCCAGTAGCGAAGCACAGCTTCCAAGCACAGAAGCATCAGCAGCTCACCAGAGCATGGCCCAAGCGCTGCGTGAACAAATCAACTGGCTACCATTGCAATGACTCGAGAGGGGCTACAGGGGTGAAGGCAGTGAGAAGAGGGGGGTGGACGGCGTGGAGCTCTTCTCTGGACGGATGGAGGTCAAGAACCAGGCCTTTGACCCAAAGAATGCCGCCTGTAAAAGCTGCAGAAGCTCCCTAGAACGTGCAGGGGAAGCTCCAATAGTGGAACTGGTCCCTTGCTCAGGTTTGTTGAAGATCTTTTCTTTTTACTGATATGGTAGTGCTGATAAAGTTGTTAGATCATAGCATGAATACATACATCCAGGGGCTCCCACCTCTCTGCACCACATCATTACCAATCGTATTCTCTGTCTTGAGCTTCTTTTTGTTTTTTATCAGCTTCAGTAATTATCCGGCTGCGAAAGATCCTCATCAATGTCGCAAGAAAAAGGCCGGCGTCTGGAGGGTTGACCATGTCAAACATGACCAGGGTCGGCGGGGCCGAAACCCATGGCCAACTGCCACTCGCAGATACCGTTCCAAGCCAACTCCGGATGTGGTTATCACATGTACATGATAGGTACCTGTGCATGACTCTCGCCACGGCTATGGCCACGGGACCTCGACTAAACACAGAACGGTCGTTACTTACGCTGGAGCTCAAGTCTTCACCTACGCCAGCTACTAATCCAGAGCTAGAACCCGAATGTTGATGTGGCGTTTGAGATTCGGCGATACGCAGGCGTGGACGTTAACAGAGTCAGCATCGGAGTCCTCAACGCCAACCAAGATTTCAAACCTCGCATTGGCTTCAGGGGTATCCCATCTAGGCCTCAAGGAGCATTTTGTCTTTACAAGATGAGGTTGAGAATGCAGGTTGCAAAGGACCCAATGATATACGGACAATTGAGAGCCGACCTTTGACTCAGCTTCAGAACGATGGAGAATTAAACGCCTGCAAGCCCTGCACCACGCTCCCGGGTCTTTTGAGACGGTGACATCACCAGCCAGGGGATAGCGCCTGTCGCCCTACAGTACGGAACCGGCGGGTGTGCGCAACCAGTTCGTTAAAGGGTCTTCCACCTCGACCGAATTGCTCGACTTAGAGTAACGCACGCTATGCCATTCACATCTACCTGGAAGGCGGTGAATTCTGATTTCTGAAACACCCAAGCTTTGTCACATGGGCGCATGGCCG